AATTATGTATATATATATATATATATATATATATATATATATATATATTATATGAAAATGATAGAGATAAATACTATAAGTTTATATCGACCTATATACATTACGCCTAATAATTTTAGGTTTGAATACAACACTTTAGAAACGTATATATACAACAAACAATACTAAAAACTGTACAAAGATAACAAGTAAAAATGCCACCCAATCCGACGCCCCGCTCTTACAGAGCATCATTATTAAATGATACCACAATGAAAGTGAAATGACAAACAAAAAGGCCCAGCCAATTTCTGGAGCAACTCTTATCAAAAGAAAATCACCATAACTTTTAACAGATAAAACTTGCCAGCCCCTCTAAAATTTCCTTACAGATTATAGTGATCAGAAAAGAAAAGGAACTATATTGTATGTAAAAAAAAAAAAAAAAAAAAATTACGATCATTAGAACACCAAGGTAACAAAATAGAACATTTTAAAGAGAAAGCAGAATCTACAAGTGTGCTAAAGCTATTCATTGGAAGCAGGCAGCTCCTTTCATAATTGCACATGCGTGAAACAACTAGCTCTCAACGCACATAACATAACATAAACATAAATAACAAACATAATATAAAAATAAGTGTTTCGGTGTGAATCACACCAAGGATAAACCAGGAAGTCTAAGACTTGTTTTGGAATCCTTCTGGTGGTGAATTGCGCAGTACACCGGGAGACAATCCCCTCTCTTTTTCGAAGTGTGTACTGCGTTCTTTAACGTGCACATGGGCCATGTTTTTCTTATCCGAAAAACGGTGCGCTATCGTAATTTGTATTTCAGCCCTCCAGCTGAAACACAAGGAGAGCAGCGATGGGAATTGAACCGGGGACCTAGAGATCTCCAGGGTTCAGCGCACACACAGTGACTACCACCAGATTAGCCGACTGAGCTAAGCTGCTCCCCAGCTACAGTTCGAATAACAGATGGCGATAGATAGGGCCTATAATGATGCGCCCTCATCTTAGACATCTTCTAGGCCTATTATAACTTTTACTCTTTATGCAGACGCCCTAACCAACTGACTTTCGTTGGAAGTTCGAATCAGGTTGGAGGCAATTGATATAACAATATTTAGCATGCAAAAGTAACATATTATTCACATAGGCCTATGTGAATATTAAGAAGTCAATGTGATACGCCCTCTTCTTAAGTACAGTACCTCAACGACAAGACAGTGTCTCCGAATAGATAGTTCTTATGCACGAGATCTCACACGTAAAAAGAAATTAGCTCTTAACCATCTTTTGGTAAATGCTTGATAAAATGCATACTAAACGGTAAGAAGAGTGATCTGCAAGTGTGAAAAAATCGCTCCAACGAGTTGGGTTTGCATACATTTAGATTCATCGTTTTACACCTACACAAAATTAAATCTCAATTCTTCAAATTCTGTCAGGAATGCGTATCTTCATTAACCTTATGCTCTTGTTGAAAATTGAGGATGCTCATGTGCAATTGTAACCACAGTAAAGTCTCTCCTTTGCTAAATAAAAGTTCAACGACTGATACGAATTTATTAAAAGGTTTAGATCTCTAGAGTCTCTAAATCAAATCAAATCATATATCATTTATTACAATCAGTAATCGGTAAAACTAACAAACTGAAGTTTAACTAATAAAACATTTTAATCATAAAATCACAACAAAATATAAAGCAAAAAAAAAACCAAATGACATGTAGGTCTATGACTCAAAAAGACAGACGATTAGTCATTCTTATTCAATCTTGTGTAGTTTATATAATATTAATAGGCCTAATACTGTATTTTCACAGGGATATTCATTCTAACGATTAGTGAACGTGAGAGGCTTCATATATATGGTTGTTTGCCTGTGAAAAAAAACAAGTTCCTGTTGACGTCATGTTTGATGAACTGCAGCCCGGGGATAGCTTTACCTAACAACCTAAGCCCTCCCCGAAAATTTAGTTCTTTGAATTAAATACGATTTTTTTTTATTGAAAGGTGGATTTGTCAAGTCTTCAGTTATTCAGTATTAAGTGTTTTTTTTTTTTGTTTTTTTTTTCTGGAGGGTTAATCAGAGAAGCACTTAGACCGAACGATTCAATGTGTCGCTGTTATTTAACGCAACTGATGCTGACATGAACGGGTTTTAAAAACAGGTATTGACCAGTGACAGTTCACATGATATAGATGATGTAGCTTTTAATAGTAGAGTATTTA